AGATGAACAAAAAGACCTGAAACCATTTGTTAGAGGAGTCTGAGAGAAAACACAAAGAAAACTTGTTTTTTCAGAAAACAAAAAGAAGATTTAAGCTCCAGCAAGGTGGTTTCAGTCAGCCTGGTGTGGAATCTGTCCATCAAACATCTGGAGAACCTGAAGGATCAGGAGCGGTTTACCGGCCCAGAGGAAACAGAAGAGACACAAATCATCTCATATTTATGAGTCGTTGCTGACATTTAGCCTGAGGGCTAACGCGCTAGCCTCCACATCCTCTAACCTATCACCTGATCTTCTTCACCTGATGTCCACCATGCTTCTGCTTCAGCCACAACCACAGAGTTCAGACCAGATCATCTGTCACTGGATCCAGGGGCGTGTCCAGGGAGTGGCCTGGGGTAGCACATGCCACCCTTGCAATCTGACTGGCCACCCCAAGTGCCACCATACTACCATACCTTTAAATGGGCTTTTCATTGTCCACATAAGGCTTGGGGGTAAAACAACAAAAGCATAACCATTGGTGCCACCCATGCACAAAGTTGTGCCTCACCAGGGCCACCCCATTTTAAAAGATCTGGACACGCCACTGACTGGATCCCGTCAGCTTTCAGTGGAGCTGGTTGGATTTCTGCTGCACTGATCTGACAGAAACGTTTCCTCAGAGATTAAACTTCACCCTTTTCTCACCAGACAGTCATAAAATCTCCAAATCTGCTCACTTCTTACATCCGTGTGCAGAAAACGTGTGAATTGAAATTCGAGGAGGATTATTTTAGGTGTGGCATTGCTGTTTTCACCAGTTTGTGCGTTTGTCTCCAGCCTGGCAGCGGCGCTGAAGAAGCTGGATCCCGAGGATGGCGAGCAGATTCTGGAGTACTTTAAAACCCACGCCTTGATGAGCAGAGAAAAGGCTTGTAAGATCAGACACGCCCGACGTGACTCGGAGACCTGAAGCGTGACGGAGGCGTTTGTGTTTCAGTGCTGCAGTCGTCGGTCCGAGAGCAGAAGAAGCTGCTGGTGGAGAACGCCAAGCTGAAGAAGGACATCGAACAGCTGAGAGTTCAGCTGCAGGACAAGCAGAAGAGACGCAGCGGTGAGCAGAAGAAAACACAAACCAGACGTGGACCTGAGCTTTAAAACTTCAAATTTCACTAGATTCTAAAAGTTGTTTTATTTTGAAAAGACGTTTGTTTGTTTTTTTTGCCATCACTTTATTTCTGTATTCCAGCCAGACTCTGGCATCGTGGTTGCTGTTGTCATGACTACGGACAGATGTGTCTAGTTTGGTGCGATTAAGCTCGTTGGTGCATCGCATGGACCACACCTTTTATCTGTATTAAAGACTCACTATTGAGCCTTTTTCCCGTCAGACTAACCGTCTTCTGTCTTAAATTTCTAAAAGGGACATTTACTCCTCTTACTTCTGCTCTGATGTTTACAGATCTTATTACAAACAAAAACAAACTTATTCAGATTTGAAGTTTTCTCACAAATCCTTTTTCCTGTTTATTAAACAACATTTCTCTCTTCCAGCAAAACCTTTTCACTCTCAGGCCCCGCCTCCTCAGAGTTTTAGCTCTACCCCGGCCACGCCCATCCCCCCAGCTGGAGCAGCTGTACCTGAGACCCCGCCTCCTGCCTGCCCCTCCCACGAGGGGAGGGAGAGGCAGACCTGGAGGAAGAGGGGAGGGAGAAAAGGTGAGGGGCGGAAACAAAGGGAGGAAGGATGAATTGGTGAAATAAAAAACTGAATCATTCTCCTCTGTCCCAGCTCCTCCCATTTCAGACCCCCTCGCTCTGGGGGCGGAGTCTCGGATTGACGCGTCACGTCTGGATCTGCGAGTTGGGAAAATTCTTGGTTCTCGTCGCCACCCGCTGTCTGAAGCGATGAGTGTCCAGGAGGTGGACGTGGGAGAAAACTCCCCCCGGGTGGTCGTCAGCAGACTGGGAGGGAAATCCGACGTGAACCAGGAGGTGACTCGAGAAAAAATTCTTCTAGTCTGGATGTATCCTGAAATACTGAACCGAGTGTTCAGATCCAATCAGATGTATTCCAGTTATTTTTATATGTTTTATTTAATTTCATGTAATGGATTCATAATGTATTCAATATTCTGACTCAAATCGGAGTGAATCTGTAAAATTTTATTCATTCAGAAAATGTAATATTTCATGTTTTTCTAGCTTGTTTATTTACTGACGTGGACTAATTGTCTGTTTCCAGGTGCGAGGCTCTTTAGCGGTGTTGCTATGCAACGTCAAACCATCAAAGATAAGGGGTGTGGTTTCCCAAGCACGCCTTCTCAGTTGCTCCGCCTCTGATGACCACGCTGAGCTTCTGCTTCCACCTGCAGGCTCCGCCCCTGGAGACCGAATCACCTTCCTGAACTATCCAGGTAACCACGGCAACAATGACGTCATCCGTCCCCAGACCCTATGCAGGTTTCAGGACCTGGGTCTCGTTTGTGTGTGTGTGTTCAGGCGAACCAGACCGGGAGCTGCAGTCCAAACTGAAGATCTGGGAGCTGCTGCAGCCTGACCTGCAGGTGGACAGCAGGGGCGTGGCCAACTACAAAGGCAGCGGGTTCGAGGTCAAGGGGAAGGGTCTCTGCAGGGCCCCCTCCCTCATGAACTGTCCCATCAGATAGACACAGATCAATGTTGCTTTTATTTTGAAAAGCCTGCCCAGCTGTGGATCAGCACCCAACATTTCACGGGTACGAGAAGAAGATTAAAGTTCTGTCAGAACCTCAAGTTTCCAACATTTTTTCTCGTTGTTTAAATACAAAAAGCAATCGTCGTCGTCTTCCTCCGCTTATCCGGGTCCGGGTCGCAGGGGCAGCATCCCAACTAGGGAGCTCCACATCGTCCTCTCCCCGGCCTTCTCCACCAGCTCCTCCGGCAGGACCCCAAGGCGTTCCCGGACCAGATTGGAGATGTAACCTCTCCAACGTGTCCTGGGTCGACCCGGGGGCCTCCTGCCGGCAGGACATGCCCGAAACACCTCCCCGGGGAGGCGTCCAGGAGGCATCCTGACCAGATGCCCAAACCACCTCAACTGGCTCCTTTCGATCCGGAGGAGCAGCGGTTCTACTCCGAGTCCCTCCCGAATGTCCGAGCTCCTCACCCTATCTCTAAGGCTGAGCCCGGCCACCCTACGGAGGAAACTCATTTCGGCCGCTTGTATCCGCGATCTCGTTCTTTCGGTCTTTACCCGAAGCTCATGACCATAGGTGAGGATTGGGACGTAGATCGGCCGGTAAATCGAGAGCCGGGCTTTCTGGCTCAGCTCCCTCTTCCCCACAACAGATCGGCTCAGCGTCCGCATCACAGCAGACGCCGAACCAATCCGCCAACAAAGCAAATTCCTAGATAAGAACGAGTTTCCATGGCTGATGACAACTGCTTTAAAACTAAATCTACGGTAATGAACCACTCACCTTAATGCACGGTGTTCATAAATATTTCCCAGATTTAAGGGACACCAGTAGTTCAGTCCAATGATTATCGTTTATTATTAGTAACCCAATGAAACCAATAACAACAAAAATACGTCTTCCATCAGACCTCCGCCCGGATCTTCAGAGCTCGGTGATGGTTTCTGGCTGAAAGACGGAGAAGTTGGTCTCTCAGTGGACGTCCTCTTATTAACGGCCAATCGGAGGTGTTGTCTAAGAAACTGACTCCACCCCCAACTTCTTTAGCCAGTGCTTTCAGCCAATCGGTGGTGTGGGCAAGGTAGGCAGATGGCTGAAGCCCCGCCTCTTGCAGAAGGTCAGCATGAGTAAAGATGAGCGTTGTGTGGCGATTCCAGTCTGGACCGAAGACGCTCTGAGAGCCAAGAGGGACAAAAAAAACGTCTGAAAAGATTCTCATTAAAAAAGGAAAATGAGATCTAACAGAAAAATAAAATCCAACATCAAAGAGTTTCTCAAACAAGTAAAGGTCAACACAGGCAAGATAAAACACAGAAGTGTGCACGAGGGTTTGTGCACGTGTTTGCGTTTACCTGTGCATAAAGCTGCAGTCGTGTGTTTTCAGGTGGCTGGTCTGTTCTCACTACAATCATGAGCACGTGCACGCCCTCAGGGCAGTGTTCATGCAGAGTCTGTGGGCGGGGCCACACAGTGGGTGTGTCAATCATTCGTAACACAAGGTCTGACTCCGCCCCCTGCCTCCTGAAATACCCAGGAAAGCTTCTGCTGCGGATCTGACATCCCGTTGTCTTGGAAACGCCTGGAGCACAGATCCCCGTGGGAAACTCCTGTCCACCTGTCAGGTGTGTGAAAGACATTTCTATCAAGTACGTTTAAAGAGAGACTCAAAGATTCCAGGGCTAGGGTTAGGACTGACCAATCAGAGCGTTCCCCACAGAACTCCTCCCACTTTGTCTGTCACCTAGCAACAACACGTTCAAGACAAGAGCATCTCGCTTTTCGCTTCTCAGGTGAGAACCCCGTTGGTTCAGGATGCTAAAGATGTTGTTTCCATGGAAACAGCAGTCGTCATCCATCTGAAGAAACAACAGAGGTTCTGTTTTCACATGTCAAGTCCAAACGTCTGCAAATGTGGAAGCTTTAACACACTAATGGTTACAGACCTCCATCTTTAGCTTTAACCGAGGTTTCTGGTTAGCGGCTGGTTAGGACTGCACCGTCGGCTTCACAGGAAAAGTTTTATCCTACCCGCTTGATGTCAGCTCCACAGGCGAACAGTCGACTTCCTGGACCGAGCGACACAGAGCTTGTGTGTGCTGATGGGAGCGGTTTCTGGTTAAATTATAACCAGATCTGAGGCTCGTCCTGCTGCCTTATCAGGTCATAAAACAGATAAACGTCCCCACCGTCTCCGTCACGTCCCTAACAAACCCAACAGAGACGTGTTGGTCTGTCTTCTGCTGTCAGCGTGGGGCCCGGCTGGAGATCCTAATCCAGCTGGGTCAGAGAAGCCTGGGAGGTGCACCACTGGACAGGTGTGAGGGGAGGTGAAGCAGACACACCTGGACAAGACAAAGACCCAGGAAGTAAACGACAAACTAAAGAAGAAACTAAACCTGGAAGATGATGACGTCACCTTTTTATCATTGTGGAAGACAGAAATAAACAAAAGTCAACTTGATGAAACGTTTATTAAAAGGTTTGCAGATTATCTTGTTATTGAGTCTTCTGGGAGGTATTAGTAACGACCCTGTGGGGGTCAGGGTCAGGGTCAGGGTCAGGATGGGAGGAGAAAACCCTTCAGGTGATTTACTGACATCACTTGATCATGATCTTTACTGTAAAACACCATAAAATCACTAAATAACAGATGCTAGCTTCAGGTTTGTGTGTCACATTTGATTAAAATGCAACTAATTATGAACACACACACACACACACACACACACACACACACACACACACACACACACACACACACACACACACACACACACACACACACACACACAGGGTTGCTGTTAGCATCATAAACCAGCAGAGATTACATGCAGCCTACATACGAGTGAGCGCTAATCCAGGGTTAGAACATTTATGGTTGTAATAAAAACAGATTATTTGATGTTTAATCTGACAAACGCAGCTAACAAACACGACTAACGAGCCGTTTCATGGAAACATCGGACCTGGTCTTCACTGGTGAGCTTTGTTAGAAGTTGTTGGTGACAGTAGAGCAGATGTTTAGGAACGTCTCTGGACCTGGTGGACCTGGTGGACATCAGCACCTGTCTGCTGGTCCAGACGGCCAGGAGGAACAGATCTGCCCCACAGAACGGTCTTCATCCATGTGTCTGAGCTGCCTGGCATCAAGAGAACAGAGAGCTTTTATGTCTTTTAGGTCTCCACTACGCGGTTTATAAAACAATAAGTTACACACATGTAATATTTATACATCTGATACAATTCAGATCACCTTCAAAACTCAGTCACACACCCAGGGCCGTTTCAAGGCATTTTGGGGGCCAAGGCAAAACAGAACCTGTGAATTTTGCACGTAGAGTGCATAAATATTGTTGGAAAGAGGAGAGCCTGGGCTTTAATTTAAACGGCGGATTCTGTGAATAGGATATTGGATTGTCGCTGCCGTGTGTTTTTCTCTAAATGCGTATTTAGTGTCTTTTTACGTCCTTTTGATTTAACAGCTTATTGTTGGAATTGGGTGTTGATGGAGAAAACGTGGGTTCTGTTGTTTGGAAGATCAGTTCTTCCCGTTCTGCATGTGAGCTGTTTATACACTGGTGAATATTAAGCATGTTGTTGGAAGGACTGTGTTACTTCACATTATCCACGGACCCGTTACTGGATTGAGGTTCAGTTTCACTTTACAGCTGATGACATCCACAGACAACATCCCCCACACTTTTGAAAAGCTTGCAACGCGCCTGCTGGGACATTTTATCATGAAGCGTTAGCTTTCCTCAGAAGGTCTGTTAACCTGGACCCTGGGCTCTGATGTTGAGTTCAGGGGAAACATTTATTATCACACGTCCTATGTTTGTTTCTTTCATACGTTTCCATAGTTTCTGACTCACGTCTACAGTCTGAATGACATCACAAGCAGCACTAAATAACACCAGCAGGGGGCAGGTTAGAACTGGAAACCAACTGGAGAGACCAACACAGTTTAGCACATGCATCTAACTTATCACTGCTACCTTTAACACTCACACAGCCTTCCCACACCTGTAACCGTTACATAACCCTAACCCTAACCCCTCACTCACAAGACTCACTAAACTCTTGTTGTCCTAGAAAGACTTTTGTGTAAGTATAATTCCATTAGGGCCAGAAGCCAAGGGCGCCCCCAAAGGGTGGCCAGGGGTGGCCATGGCCACCCCTAGAAAATTGCTGACCCCCAAGCAAAAGCCAGTGTCAACAAATCATATTAAAGTTCAGTCAAACTATATCTTGATCTTGTTTATTCAAGACATGATTTTAAAACAAAGTAAAAATATTACAATTAATGATTTAAAAAATAATCAGAATAAAAAAAATACATGTTTCTGCTGCTCACAATTAAAAAAAAGTTTTTTATCTCCATAGTTTTTTTAGTACAGCAACAGGTGAATTTACCTAAAAAAATACTTTTTTTAAATTAAATTAGGGATAACGATTTAAATAACTGAAATGTATATTTCTGAAATGTTTGCCTTAATAACATTTAAGTTAAATGTTTTGGATACGTACTGTTATTTTAATCAAAACGCCACAGGCTAAATTCTCCCAGAGTTACCACAAGGACCAATTTGGTGTGCCACCCCAAAACATTCTTTGGCCCCATCTGGCCACCCCTATCAAAATTTTCTGGAGGCGCCCCTGCCAGAAGCTGAAGCCGTGCCACAGTGCTACTACGCCTCCCCACAAACACAGTGTTACTGGACATCATGATGACTTTACTGTTATATCAACGTGGTGAAGTTGACTCATCTGGAAAGTCTACCTGTTTCAGCTGCATCAATGCCAGCTGAATATTAATACACTTCATATGTGGTGGTTAGGGTTAGCGTAGTCACTCTGTCTGGATGATCTAGTTCATCTGGACAGGATGTTGTCTTTGTTTTTATTTTCCAACAATGACGAGCTCCAATGAAACATAACTAATGAGGTTATTTTGAGTAGAAGGTACAGATCCATGCACGAAGAAAGAGTCGGCTAATAGATGTTTACTCCAAAGAAGTATAGATACCCCACATTTCTACTTAAGTAAGGTAAAAAAGTATTTGTACTTGATTACTGACACCTTTGCTGGACAAGAGCCCTTGAGGACCAGAGTTGGACACCACCGATGTAACACAACCATGGAGACACAAACACAGTAAAATTTGTCTCATTGACAAAAGGAATCTTCTGTAAGGTCTACGAGAACGTTAATGTTGATGTTCTAGTCCTGCATGGACAGGGATAATTGGGGATGATGAAGAGTGAGAAGCTTCCTCCTCGAGACTGAAGGATTCTGCTGCTAAAACCCATTTGAATTGGAGCGTGATGATGATTGACATTACCACTACATATTATGACCAATAAGATGTGATATTCCATATAAATATCAAATATCAACCTGATTGATCTTTGAATGTTAAATCAGAAGATTCTATGGTTATTTGCTTCTTAAGGGACCATAAACACACTTCGTATTAATTCAGACAGAGTCAGTATATAGTTTATAAAATGAATGTAATTTTATTCCTAAACTAATAATTATACGTGACAAATATGTCACAGTCTCTAATTTCCCTCTGGGATTAATAAAGTATCTTTGAATTTGAATTGAATTGAATGAATAATGAGATGTGATGTAATGGAGATGTAGTGATTTAATGTGATGTGTGAAATGAGAGCCGTCTTTACCGACTGTACACTCCACCTCCCTCTACTCCCCCACTTGTCCAGATCTAGGCTAACATCAGATTTTAACCATAGGCCCTATCAAATGAAAATGTTTTAAGCCTAGTCTTAAAAGTAGACAAGGTGTCTGCCTCACGGAGTAAACCTGAGAGCTGGTTCCACAGGAGAGGAGCCTGATAGCTAAAAGATCTGCCTCCCGTCTTATTTTTAGATATTCTGGGAACCACCAGTAAACCTGCAGTCTGAGAGCGAAGTGCTCGGTTAGGAACGTATGGAACAATCAGATCACTGATGTATGATGGAGCTTGATTATTAAAAGCTTTGTATGTGAGAAGAAGGATCTTAAAATCTATTCTGAGTTTAACAGGTAGCCAATGTAGGGAAGCTAAGACAGGAGAGATATGATCTCTCTTTTTAATTCTCATCAGAACTCTAGCTGCAGCATTTTGGACAAGCTGAAGACTTTTAACTACATTCTGTGGACTTCCTGAGAGTAATGAATTACAGTAATCCAGTCTTGATGTAATAAATGCATGAACTAGTTTTTCAGCGTCACTTCTGGAAAGGATGCTTCTAATCTTAGCATTATTCCGAAGTTGGAAAAAGGAAATCCTACAAACCTGTTTAACTTGGGATTTGAATGACATGTCCTGGTCTAAGATAACACTAAGGTTCCTTACTTTGTTCTCGGAGACTATTTTGATGTATTTCAGGTCAGGTGATTGACTAAGCAATTTCCTTTTCTGAAGTTTGCTAATGTATGATGGCAGGAGTGGGTGGAGCTATGTATCCTTTGAGTAAAACCAATTGAGTCTAAGATATTACTAAAGGCTACATTGAGGCTATCATTTTCAATGTCCACATGAATGTTGAAACCCCCCACTACAATGACCTTATCAGTATTTAGCACCAAATCAGATTAAAAAATCAGAGATCTGATCCAAAAACTCAGAGTAAGGGCCTGGTGGACGATATAAAACTATAAACAAGAGTGGTTTTACAGTTTTGCAATCTGGATTAGGAAAACTAAGAGTAAGATGTTCAAAAGAACTGCAACTATTAAATGGTAAGGGACTGATTAATAGGTCTGAATGAAAAATGGTTGCTACTCCTCCTCCTCGCCCTGTACTTCGAGCAATATGATGATTTAAATAATTTGAAGGAGTCGACTCATTTAAGCTAACATAGTCCTCTTGCTGCAGCCAGGATTCTGTGAGAGAGAGCAAAGAGATCTGATTATCACAAATCAAGTCATTAACTAACAAAGTGTTGTAAAAAATTGATCTAATGTTGTGTTGTGTTGTGCTGTGGGTTTTGTTGTGTTGTGGCTTTTGTAATTTGCTGGCCCTTCTGGGCCACCGTAGATGGGAGAGGCCAGTCGCTGTGCTGGGAAGCTGGAGCTGTTTAACCAGGACCAGTGGAGACCAGCGGTTACCTTTCCTGGTGTCCGGAACAAGAACTCAGCTGCTGTATTTTGTTCTAACCTGGGTTGTGGTTCTGCTGTTTCAATTAATACATCAAAGGAATCATCAGAAATACCCGTGTGGTGGAAAGATGCATCCTGTCTGCAGTCGGCATCTCTGCTGATAGAGTGTTTCTATCAGCATGATCGTGACTCTGATGAGCTCCTGGAGGTGATCTGCTCAGGTGATCCT